TTTTTATCAGCTATAGTTACATAAATAAAGTTAGATCCGTGTGTCAAAATATAGTCAAATGTGTAATACACACGTCCAGTCAGTTTTTTTTATCAGCTACAGTTACATAAATAAAGTTAGATCCGTGTGTTAAAATATAGTCAAATGTGTAATACACACGTCCAGTCAGTTTTTTTTTATCAGCTACAGTTACATAAATAAAGTTAGATCCGTGTGTTAAAATATAGTCAAATGTGTAATACACACGTCCAGTCAGTTTTTTTTATCAGCTACAGTTACATAAATAAAGTTAGATCCGTGTGTCAAAAATCTGAATTTTTTCTTCTACCTTCTTTCCATTAAAAAATTTCAACACACAAAAAAAGTTTGCAGTAATTTGTAAAAATTGTTAATTGGTTGTTAAGCACAAAGTTACACAAAAACTGTTTGTGCTCTGCTCACCACGAGTATCTAAATCCAATTTTTAGCATTGAAGGCTTGCAGACGTATCACTGAGCCATTGAGGGACTTTAAAAATAGTGAAAGTTTGTGCTGATACATAGGATATTTATTTTTATAGGCCCTAGAAAATGATATTAAATATAAATTAATGTGCATGTGTTAACTAAGTTATAAAACACCCAAATCACCAGATATCAGGCTTATAGCCAAACCAGATTTTTTATAGTTATACTAACCGCTACCGAGTAGTTGTAGTGTATATTAACTTCAAATTGTAAGATTTAACCGCATTACTTAGCTTCACAAAATCCCTGTCTGCTGCCCAAAGATGTAAATCGCTAAACTTCGAATTATTAGCACCCATTAATACTGGTATTTATCAAAAGAGTTTTCGATATGTATAAATGTATTTATAGCCGGACTCGATCATTTCTTTTGCTTTATAATACAAACCTCTGTGGACTAGTTTACAATAAAGTGCTTAAAACCGTGTTAGTCTGACTGCGGTATTTCATGACAGTTGCTACCCTAATTGGACCAATGCTTTATAATTACATAATTGATTTGATTTGTAAAATACCTAGAATTCCTTGTGAGCGTCATATTGATTCTGAAGTTAGAAGAGCTGAGATGACCTATTTTATAGTGGGTACGTAATGCCAGGACCCACGATATACGAAGAAGCCGTGGACGGTAGATGACGCCTGTTGCCTGTAGACTTAAAACATGAGTCACGCAATTCAAAAATGCACTCAGTGGGTGAAAGGTTCGTTTTAATGATAATGATAGCACATTTATTATCGTTAAACTTGCGTGACCACTAGCATAATTTAAGTTTCTCTTTTGCGTGGAAGGTGTAGACTGTGTAAAACGCTTTTAGAACTGGCTATCAGGTAATGGCGTTACATTACTTAATTTAGGGCTTTATTTTGGTTGCACTACGTTCCCATATCTTTCTTCATATTCAGTGATAACGAAGTATATTAACCTGATTTATTTTTTTCTCCGTTTCGTTTCTTGAACATTTCGTACGAAACAGTATAAGTTATTCAATTATAGGATCTAAAAAAAAGAAGAGTAATAAAAACACTTTTTTTTCCCAAACCAGTTCGTTTTGGTTCTGGTTGAACGATGCGGCGTTTTTCTTATATGTAATTATACGTTTTTATTTTTTCAGAGCTGTGACTGCGACATAATTTTTTTTCTTTCATCTTTTAAACCAGACTGGAAAATTTATATTTTCCTTTTTTTTTTAGAACAGCAAATGGCAACTCGTTTTACTGTAGGATGGACACGTGATTTGGGTGTAAATTAGTTGCTATAGCACCTAGACTAAACATCAGCATTTCTAGCTCCGTTTTCATTTGGGTTGGCCCGGCATGGCCAGGTGGTTAGGAGCGCTCGACTCGCAATCTGATGGTGTTGGGTTCGAATCCCAGTCCCACCAAATATGCTCGCTCTATTAACCGTGTGCGCTAGTCAATCCCACTAGTCGTTGGTAAAAGAGTAGCCCAAGAGTTGGCGGTGGGTGGTGATGACTAGCTGCCTTTCCTCTAGTCTTACACAAGTATCCACGAATGAATTAATGAATAATTATAAATGAAATAATTATCCTTTTTGTTCTTTACATTTTCCGGAAAAAAAGAGAAATAAAAGTATGATATTATTTATGGAAACCATCAACTCTTTGGGCAGGATAACACAGTGTAATTAGGTTAAAGTTTTCGACACCATCATAGTGGGTCATTATTTCCACACTTTTAAGTTTGTTCTAAAGTCATTTAGCAACGTGTTCGCTGATTGATAACGAAACAGACAGCTGTTGAGTTTACCTTTCAATGAATCACAATTTGCACTTCCCGCAGGGACTAAAAACTGGGTGGGGGGTGGTGGAGACAAGGCTGTTGTAATATATTATGAGACTTAATACATCATTGACCTTCCCGAGAAGAAAACGGAACCCAAAGTGAGACATACTGGAAATGTATTCCTGCTTTTGGAAGTGCAATCGGGAAAAATTAATAAAATAACTATTTTAGTGTGATCGTTTTTATATAATCGTGCATAGGTGACATTTTGCTACTCACGAGTTAAAAAAAAACAACAACAATTTTAAAACAACAAATATACGACATTTGTTCATATTTTTCTTTCTTGTGATTGTAATATTACTTATTTTAACTGATATTAACAAAGCAGTGATAATTCAAATAACTAAATGTCTAGTCACAGCAGACAACCCAGACATTAAATTCGATATATTATTTCGATGTGTCAGATTGTTTAATTGCTAGATACTTTTAATATATTTCAGTTATATATTTGGTTCTTGCAGAAATATTTTCTCCCTCTTCAGACATGGGTTGTTTCTTCGACTTTTTAACTATTATATTCTTAAGAAGGGTTTTTGTTCTGCTTTAGGTATTTTCGGTGGTGAAACGTCAATATCCCGCTGTATATGTTGTTTCGTTCTTTAAAATAATGCCACTGTTTCAGATGTAACAAATTACTCAGTTATTTTAAGGTTTACTTATACCACGCAGACGATATTGTACAAAGGGTTCGAGTAAGTTTTATTGAAACGATTTTGAATAAGCAAATCAGCAAGCCACGTGATAACTAGAGTCGATATAAAATCATCGTGGAACGGCATGTATTGTAACTGCATTTTGATAGTGCTCGACGCTCGTAGGTAGTGTAATGGAATCGAAATTTAATCGTTTTTAAGAAGGATATGAAAAAAGCTCTTTACGACGCGATATAAAGAGGGTTCAAATCGTGGAATTAGAATTTCCAAGACGAGGGTATCTCTCGTACTTAATGGCGTTGTAAAACAAAGGAATTGTGATCAACTTCGGACACCAGAACCATCCATATAGAGACGTACAACAAACAGTATCCCAGCCATGGCAACAAAGTTCGGCGTTTTGTAAACGAATACTTTTACTACCGGTAGAGTCCACATGTTATAATAGAATACTTTTACTACCGGTAGAGTCCACATATAATAATAGAATACTTTTACTACCGGTAGAGTCCACATATAATAATAGAATACTTTTACTACCGGTAGAGTCCACATATAATAATAGAATACTTTTACTACCGGTAGAGTCCACATTTATAATAGAATACTTTTACTACCGGTAGAGTCCACATATAATAATAGAATACTTTTACTACCGGTAGAGTCCACATATTACATCATATTGAGTAATTTTATGCCTTCTACCTCTAACAATGCTCACTGGAAAGATCCGAGACAACAATCGAGTATTTGTGTGGTTTAAAATCATGGATCCACAAACAACTTAGCGCAGAAATAATTTAGAAAAATGTTTTGAAAATGGGGACCACGTCAGTATTTCTAGGGTTATGAAAGGAAACGTTTGATGTCAAAGTTCTTTTTCGTGCTTGTTTAAAACCAGCTGAATATTCCTAGTGGCTCAAATTCTGTTACCAGAAAAATAATTCATAATTGGAGAGGTTTGTTTGTTTGTTTGTAATTAAGCACAAAGCTACACAATGGGCTACCTGTGCTTTGCCCACCACGGGTATCAAAACCCGGATTCTAGCGTTGTAAGTCCGCAGACACACCGCTGTGCCACTGGCGGGGGGGGGGGTAAATGAAGAGGTGCAGGAGAATAATTGTCAGTTGTCTAGACTGAGGTGTTGTGGGCCTATTTTGTCTAGCATTTTATAACAAGCATTTTGCCCCCAGTGGCACAGCGGTATCTCTGCGGACTTACAACGCTAGAATCCGGGTTTCGATACCCGTGGTGGGCAGAGCACAGATAGCCCATTGTGTAGCTTTGTGCTTAATTACAAACAAACAAACAACCAAGCATTTTGTTTGGGCTTTTGGCACTGTAGGTCAGTGCCTAGCGCCGCCCATGCCTTAGGGCATGTTCAGATTGATTTGATCTTTGACAAAACGCATTTTTTAATAACAGAACTTTGACATTTTATTATGAATATCACTGATAGATACTGAGAGTTTTCATTTGATTTATAATTAAAATAATTCATTATAAAGAAAATAACAGATCCGGCAAAAATACCTTCTCAGGTGCCCTTTGCCCAGTGTTATCTATGTAGATATTAATTCCCTGTCAATGTTGAATGCATGAATATAGTCTGTGTTATAAAGCTTCATTTGTTTTAAACATAAAGACAAGTTGCTTGCTCTTTATTTTGTTTATTTGTTTGTTTTTTAATTTCGCGCAAAGCTACTCGAGTGCTATATGCGCTAGCTGACCCTAATTTTGAAGTGATAGACTAGACGGACGGCAGCTAGTCAATACTATCCATTGACAACTCTTGGGCTACTCGTTACCAACGAATAGTTGGATTGGCCATCACATTATTATGCCCTGACGGCTGAAAAGGGCCTAATAATGTATTTAAAAATGGCATTTTTTATATAATAACAGTGTTCCTAATCACATCTAAGGTATATAGTGTAGTAACTGCTAATCAAGTGATTTGGAGACTATTTAGTAGTTTGATTTTTGATATTTCAGTATTTTAAAAATCATGTCAAGTCTTATATTTTTCAGAATTTACTCCCTCGTCATCTACAACATTATCAACGACATCTTCCACATCCACCAGACCACCAATAATAATACCTTCAACAAGACCTAAAACAACAACAACAACATCTACGACGACAACGACGACAACCCCATCGACAACTACAAGCACAACAACAACAACAACGACGACGACGACGACAAAACGTCCTACTACTACAACAACTTTATCCACAGTTGCCACATCTTTTTTCAAACCTTCATCTTCAAGCTCAGATAGTTCTTTCGAATATGAGAAAACATTTACTAGATTTCAACCAGGTGAGTGTTCAGGTTAGAGTGTTGTCCTAGAAAAAATTACCCAACAACCTTTCAAATTTGTGATGAAGTAGCTTGGTCAATAGAAAAATGAACAGAATACATAAAACTTTCTTGAAAGATGTGGTCAATTTAAGAGTCTTTAATTGTAATTGTTTCATCATGTTAGTTTGTAGAAAGTGTCACTTTTACATTTGGCTCTCAATAAACTTCATTCGTCGCGTTTATGTCGAGACGTACTGCACTGCCCCCTACATCTGATCTTTGTTACACCTCTCATTTTACTTTATATTTAAACATTCTTAGAAGTTATTTCAATGTGTCATTATTTTTAAATTGTAGCACATAAACGGGGAATAATTAGATAAGTTTAAGAATATCTACAAACATTTGTCCTTCGTGAATAAATGACAGATTTTATAAGCGAAAAAAAAAAATCTTGCAAACTATTTACTAGTAAGATCCCATGTTTGAATGTGTACTTTTACCAAAATCTTTAAACTATCCAAATAACCTCCAATCAATATCTATCTTCACAAGAAATTTTGTGTGTGTTTAATATTTTCTGTAATAAGAAAAACCTGAAGCGACACTAATGTGTGAATTTTCGGACAACTGATTTCGTAGTTTGAACTACTTCACAAAGAAACCAATGTAATTTAAATCAGGGGTGTCATTTCACAAAAAGATTTGGGGGAGGGGCAAAAAATGGTGATCTCGCGCGGTCTCCCCCCAATTAAGTTGGAGGGGGGCCGTACGCTATGGTGTAATTTGCGTATATGTATTAATCCGGACTGACTAGAAATGTCTCACATAAACTGCAACGCCCCCTGTTCCTCAAATAACGCCCCTGCTTTAGACAATTATTTTTAATATTTGTATTATTCTATCATTTCTTATTTCTTCTCGTATTTCTGTCGTCTTATATATTTTCATGTTTGAAATACCAGTTTTGAGTACAATACCTTATGCTATAAAGTAAAAAATAAAATAAAAACGCAAAAAAAACTTAATAAAACACTTGCTAAAGATAAACCGTTTATTTATTTATTTCGGGTGGTTAAAATGTGTAGTAGGTTGAGTTGTAAGTTATTGACTATATATTTATTTAATATAGAGACGATAACCCTATATCAAAGTCCATCACCGCCGCCAGCAGTATATAATGGTGCACAGTATTGTCCACCGGTCATCTTGAGGCGCATTCATTGGAACTGGACAAGGGAAGGACAAATAGCTATAGAAAAATGTCCCGATGGTTCAATGGGTACGTCTGTTTTGAAACCAAAACCTCCAAACATACACTGCTGCCTTTTTTTTCCCTCTCTTCCGCCTTCTCATTGTCTTATTATATTTGTTTTTAGTATTTTGTTTTCGATTGATAAATTTCCTTTTATCTTTCAGGCAAATTTTTTTTCATTGTATTCCTTGTACTTCACTACTTTATTTTTATGAATCATAATCATTATGTTGTTTTCCCATTTTTACATAATTGTGTCTTCAATATTTCCGTTATTTCATCTCTGTCGTTGATTTTGTTTTTTTGCAGTAGATATCTGACTGAAGTTTTTTTTCTTTTGTACTGGTGGTGTTCTTTTGTGTATTTTATTTAAGTTATGTAAATTCACTATTAATGACAAGTTATCTTAGGACATGAAAAGTTGCTTTCTCTATATGTTATTGTAACAAACATCCATAAAAACTGTAAGACATAAAATGTGAAACTCCAATTTTGCATGTATCTCCCCATGGATTCAATAAACTTCCTTACCACATTTTGGTAAAGATCCATCTACAGGGGTGAAGTAGCGGTAAAAAACGCCCATAGAAACCGCAAAATGCAAACTTAATAATTTGTATGTACCCCCGCATTGACCTATTGAACCTGCACACCAATTTTGATGAAGATCCATCTACACCCTGCGAAGTAGTTACATGGACATACAACTGATAATACTATTATATTTATATATATATATATGTGTGTGTGTACAATACAAAGAAACAAAGTCTGTGTATAGTTATAATCTGACTTAATAGTTTTAAAATTCGAGTAATTCAAACAAAGTTACTTGAAACTACGTTATTCAAGGAATTTGATATATTAGTGGGTTTGATAATTGATTTAATTTAAAAATACTTAGAAATAGTTTTCAAGAACTGGTATTGTTGCCAGAGCAGAAAAAGAGAAGAAAAAAAAAACTAAGGAAGCAGGTGTTTGTGAAAATAAGTCGTAATTGAGGCTTAAAGTCTTTACAAGCCAGGAAATATGAGACTGTTTCCGCACGGAACACTGGAAATAAAACGCAAATTCAAACCTAGTAATTCTATCACTCTTGAAATGAGGTCATCTAACCTCCTAATATCAATGTATCGAGTTAACTTCTTGCTATGCTGGGCCTTTTGAACACATTACGACAGGCTTCTCTTTTTTTCTTTCAATAAGCTTAAGCCTAAAGTCACGTAAAAACATGGGCGTGCTTGGATGGATGTTGTTGTGTAGATTTCACTCACGCCCCTCTTTTAGGTTATCGGTACTAATTTAGTCGCTACAGCACCAAGACCTTTTAAGTTTAATAATATTTTTATACGTATTTATGCAGTAGTACAAAATGTCTGCGAAAATGGGTTTTAGCATAATAAAAAACAGTGATTCCAGTTAAGATCAGATTAACTTGTTTTATTATCGTTGTTTTAACGCAAAGCTACAATGAATGGGTTATCTGTTCACAGCAGGGAATCGAGCCCCGGATCTTAGCTTTTTAAGTATGTAAACTTACCGCAGACCCACTGGGTGACGTCAGATTAACGCACGGACCTGTAGGATCCCAGAAAATCTAATAAAATAACATTATTGAAATGTAAATGAATATTTTCTTAACAATTTGCCCCCTAGTGGAACAGCGGTATATCTGCAGACTTACAACGCTAGAATCCGGGTTTCGATACCCGTGGTGGGCAGGGCACAGATAACCCATTGTGTAGCTTTGTGCTTAATAGTCCTGAAATAAAAGGCTCATTATTATTATTATTAGAGAGCAAGGTCTACTTTTTTCTTTCCTAGCTTTATTGTCAAAATTGTACAATGCACTGGTATTGTGCTTTAAACAGATCAGTACAACTTGTTTTCATGCAAGATTGTGACATGCTG